CCAGCATTTGTAACTGGAGTCTGATAATACTTGTGGAATATAAAAGTACTTGCTTGATAAGTTTTCCAATTTCTTGAACAACTTAATTCTAAATGTCAACAAAAACAATCACTGGACAAGTTAATGGAAACATGATGATCATTTGTCCTAACTATAATATCATTATAATATAATCATTAGGTAATACAATATCAAATCAAATGATCATCAATAACATTAAGCTGTTATATCATTCATATTAAGTAGCCTATTTGCAGTCCAGTTAATTGCATCATTTATAAGTTACATAGAATAATATTATTCTGAAAAAAATCTATGCAAAAGACCATCATCAAAATTGAGTGCTCTTTGAGAGTTTAAATCAGGAGGCCTCTGCTGGGGAAATAATGTATTCATTCATACGTTAAAACTCAATCTAAAATAACATAAGTAAACTTACCTTTCATTTGGGAAATAAGATGTACATAAACAGAAACGTTTTAACTAAATATTCAGACGTTCGATACAGTCCCGTGCTCATTGTCAATCTCTTTTATCTCTATCTTATTTACCAGAAAATGCATATGCCCTAATTAACGATGAGCTACATCCCGGAACCCCACAGCTGATGAAATGAAAACAAATTAAAACCAGCCTGTGGCTTTAGTTGGTGAGAACTAGATTTATATAGCCTGCTAAGAGAAATCAATTGTACTATTTGTTGTCGTTCACCTTGCAGCAGTATGCACGGACTGCGGGTGGTGGGGAGCCCTGCGGGTCATCGGGCGATTGGGGGACCGTCAAAAATATTCAATAGTTTCTCTAGTTGTGGCTGCTCACAGAGGACCTCGAACCCTGGTTACCCTCGGTGGCGCTCTGCCCGGTGTTGCCTGTGAAATATGATGGGGTGTGTACAGTCGTGGTCAAAAGTTTTGAGAATGACACAAGTATTGGTCTTCACAAAGTTTGCTGCTTCAGTGTTTTTAGATATTTTTGTCAGATGTTATTATGGACTGAAGTATAATTACTGAAGTATAATTACAAGCATTCCATAAGTGTCAAAGGCTTTTATTGACAATTACATTAAGTTTATGCAAAGAGTCAATATTTGCAGTATTGACCCTTCTTTTTCAAGACCTCTGCAATCCGCCCTGGCATGCTGTCAATTAACTTCTGGGCCACATCCTGACTGATGGCAGCCCATTATTGCATAATCAATGCTTGGAGTTTGTCAGAATTTGTGGGTTTTTGTTTGTCCACCCGCCTCTTGAGGATCGACCACAAGTTCTCAATGGGATTAAGGTCTGGGGAGTTTCCTGGCCATGGATCCAAAATGTTGATGTTTTGTTCCCCGAGCCACTTAGTTATCACTTTTGCCTTATGGCAAGGTGCTCCATCATGCTGGAAAAGGCATTGTTCGTCACCAAACTGTTCTTGGATGGTTGGGAGAAGTTGCTCTAAGAGGATGTGTTGGTACCATTCTTTATTCATGGCTGTGTTCTTAGGCAAAATTGTGAGTGAGCCCACTCCCTTGGCTGAGAAGCAACCCCACACATGAATGGTCTCAGGATGCTTTACTGTTGGCATGACACAGGACTGATGGTAGCGCTCACCTTGTCTTCTCCGGACAAGCTTTTTTCCGGATGCCCCAAACAATCGGAAAGGGGATTCATCAGAGAAAATGACTTTACCCCAGTCCTCAGCAGTCCAATCCCTGTACCTGTTGCAGAATATCAGTCTGTCCCTGATGTTTTTCCTGGAGAGAAGTGGCTTCCTCGCTGCCCTTCTTGACACCAGGCCATCCTCCAAAAGTCTTTGCCTCACTGTGCGTGCAGATGCACTCACACCTGCCTGCTGCCATTCCTGAGCAAGCTTTGCACTGGTGGTGCCCCGATCCCGCAGCTGAATCAATTTAGGAGACGGTCCTGGCGCTTGCTAGACTTTCTTGGGCTCCCTGAAGCCTTCTTCACAACAATTGAACCTCTCTCCTTGAAGTTCTTGATGATCCGATTAAATGGTTGATTTAGGTGCAATCTTACTAGCAGCAATATCCTTGCCTGTGAAGCCCTTTTTGTGCAAAGCAATGATGATGGCATGTGTTTGCTTGCATGTAACCATGGTTAACAGAGGAAGAACAATGATTTCAAGCACCACCCTCCTTTTAAAGCTTCCAGTCTGTTATTCTAACTCAATCAGCATGACAGAGTGATCTCCAGCCTTGTCCTCGTCAACACTCACCTGTGTTAACGAGAGAATCACTGACATGATGTCAACTGGTCCTTTTGTGGCAGGGCTGAAATGCAGTGGAAATGTTTTTTGGGGATTAAGTTCATTTTCATGGCAAAGAGGGACTTCGCAATTAATTGCAATTCATCTGATCACTCTTCATAACATTCTGGAGTATATGCAAATTGCCATCATAAAAACTGAGGCAGCAGACTGGAGCCGGTTGTTACTAAAAGTGGTGTCTACTTTAGGAATAAGTAGAAAACAATTAGAAGCAATGCATACCCATTACTCCTCAATTCAAAGTATTTTGAATATCTCCTCCCTGAATGTGTACTGTTCTTAATGTATTTCAACTCTAGTAGTTGATTAGTCAGGATTGTGTTGCAGAATTACTCAACTTGGAGAATGATAGTTGGGTCAAACAAATCTCAACAAACTACTGTGTTAGTAACCCATTGCAGAATGTGTAAAAATTATTATGTTTCATAGTGAGACAGACTGAATAGGAAAGCTAATTTTCTTGCATTCATCCATTGGGTAGCTGTATTGCACAATCCCTGTCAACCATTTTCTCAGCTTGTTGCCACAGGCAATGAGAACCACACAACATCAATCAATGAGCTTTGAAACCTACAACCATATAGTAAAGCATACTCAGGATTTGTTTTGCACTGTTCCCAAACACAATTTAACACCACAATACTGGCACATAATCATGGAGATATCAACGTTACAGGTTTAAACCTGCCATAAAGACAGGCTGCAATTTATTGTATTTTGTTTAATTATCTTTTCTGTAAATAATGTAACAAACTCTCCAAATATAATTTATCTTACCTTGTTCTGCAATGCCAAATATTTGTAAATATGTTTACCAGCTGCTGGCTATCTTCCACCTCCAATTAAAGTGATATTTCTAGTCATAGTTCATCCTCAAAACAAATGTATTCTATCCCAGTCATTTATCCCACTGACTTTTAATGAACAGAAGCTACACCTGTACTGATCCCATTAGTATTTCATATTTTTATTTATATTTGTTTTCGTTCTACCTTATGTTATTTTTAGTATTAGATTGTTATTGATTACTGCGTTGGGTTTAGAGCTCGCAAGAAAGGCATTTCACTGTAGTGCAGGGGACATTAACTTGAAACTTAAACTTGAATCCCACACCAATATTGTGGTTTAAAAAAACTATTTGGATATTGGATGAAATGTGGGGAATTATAAAGGAAACATGCATATGTGATGTACACAACTTTATTTGTGTATAGACATATTATAAATAGCATTTCCTCACAAATGTACTATAAAAGATGTATTCTAATATGTAGTATAAAAACTCAGATAATTCTGGCTTGTCACAACCTCTTGTTGCAACCTCACTGTCACCCTTTGTTCACTTCACAATTCAAGGGATTTGGGTCCAGGCCTATATTTTTGTCTCTTAGTTGCTCTTCACATATACAAGTCCAAGTGAATGCGTGTCATACTGAATGAGAGTGTTTCCACAATGGCACACTATACTTTTGGATCAATGCATTTTCTCCGTCCTGAGGATCAATCGGCCATGTCCTATTTCATACATGGATGACTCCCTGTGAATCTAATGAAGTTGGTCACCCCAGCTATCGCATGCTTTTTATTCTATTTACAGGAAATCAATGGGAATGGCTTGTTGGCAGGTTTGGTTTTGTTGACTGTGCCCAGTGGCCTACTAATACTACGGGAACCAGCCAATCCAGGCCCTTTTTTTGTTTCAATGAGGTACGAACACCCTGTTATGTAAGTTATGTGTGTGAAAAAAGGCTGCCTCTATTTCCACTGAAAAATGAACATTTGAAGTTACCGTACATGAAGTCTGCCTGGATGTCACTGTCTCTGTTTTACCTTACTCTACTATTGTCATTCTCTTAGAGCTCGACAGCTTGTAGTCCTAAAAAACTTAAATGAGTTAGCATTTTCTACCACTGGTTCGTTGGCCATTCCTGTGGGGGAATGAATGGGTTTTTGGGATAAATGCTGAAAATAAGGTCTGAGGTTAACACAGGCTTAGGAGATCTTATAAGTTTTGTTCTATGAGATATGTCAGTTAACATTAACTTGATAAATTATGAAGACTTTACATGCTTGTTTTGATTACATAAATGCTTCAAAATTCACAAAGTGATGATAGCTAATGATTATCTCATAGAACAAAACGTATAAGATCTCCTAAGCCCGTGTTTACCACAGACCTTATTTTCAGTGTTTATCCAAAAACCCTACAAAAACGTATATCCCCATAGGCTTTGGCCAATGAGTCATGGCAGAGTTAGCATCTGTTAGTGCCTACAAAAAGACGCCATTACTATTGCTCGCTATAATGGCTTTGGAGTTGTCTAAAACAGAAACTGACACACAGCTCAAATGTCATTGTGATTGGTGGAGACTGGAGAGTTTCCTGTTGCTGTTGTGTAAATTGTAAAGCAACAAGCCAGAAAACTTGGAATTCTCTCTCCCTCATACGAATTGTTCCTGAGTAACCAAGTTTCTAGCAATCAGAACTGTGTACTTGGACAGTATATTGAATGTACTGCACTCTTTCGATACAATTGATCTTTCATGTGTTTGTGGTACTGTGTTTCATGGTCTCATATTCTTCATAACTATGAAAAATTAGCTTTATACCACTCAGAATGCTCAGTGCAGCCACCTGGTGCTCCATTTGCTACAATGTAACACCTGTGTGAAATGACCCGTATTAGGTTTACTTAATTTACTCTCACAATAATTACATTCAAAATGATTCCCTTCAAATCAAGTATTTATTCAACAATGTTATAATTGTGTTCAACAAAACTGACCTTAAAATACATTGTAGTATTTAGGACAAATATTTTTTCACGGTTCAGGATATTTTGGGTAAAAAGGTGATATCAAGAGCTTCTTGTACATCTGAGCAACTGAAACCACAACCACACTCAACTGGAGAATTGAAGAAAAAAAATCAAATGGCGTGTCCTAATGGTAGGCGTGCCATTGTATGTGTACAGCTTATGCGTAGACATACATTAGTTCACGTTTGAATGATGAAAATCAGTTTTCTTTAGACTCAAAGCCATCCATTAAGATGTACATTCCCTGTATTCAGTGGTGTGATGTGTAACACTACATAATCCCTCCTCACCTAATCACAGGCTTTACAGAACACACCACCTGTACTACAGGGTCGACTAACTCATCTCCTAAACATTTTTAATTTAATAGAATATATCACAGTACACTCGAAGAGTTAATATAAATCATAAGTAATCATTCAACAAATTGAATATACAAAAAAAGAGAGTACATAGGGCCAGCTACAGAAGAAAAACATTGAGCATGCCTCAACAATGAGTGAAGTTCCATTACAAACCTCAAGGGCCCAAGTATATTGTAGCCAATAAGGGGGGGAGGTAGCCATTACACCAAGAGAGCCGAACCTTTTGACGAGGTAGCTAGGTGTTGGGTAAGGTCGCTACAATATCGATAACAGACTCAAATCTATACAGATGTTTTTATTCCAAACCAAGAGGTGACTGTGCAGTTTCATACATTTCAGCCTCCATTTTTTGCTGGCCTGGAAAGAAAACCCTCATCCTGTCTATCCCTGTAAGAAGGGTCATAACCAGTAAACAATTGAGCCCTTCCATCCATGTTTGGTATTCTTGGGAGTAATAGCCTGCATATTTTAGAAAGAGCTCAGTATACCGACACGCATGGTGTGTTGGAATCTCCTCAATTGCAGCATAATCTGGTAGAATGTCTAAGAACCCTAAAATTTGTAAAACAAGGGAATCACCCAAAACAACTCTGTACAAAATATGTATAAAGAAAAGCAAAACTGCAATTGACTGTAGTACACCAAAGTTCTACTGTATAATATATCAAATACCATTTACATAAAGCGCAAATAACTCATTTCTAAAATCAAAAGATAAAACCACCTTTTCAAGTATGTTTTGTGAAAATAAAAAATGTAAAAAGGCATGTAGGGTTAAATGCTGCAGCAGTGAGTTTTGGCAGGTTAAATTGAACAGTCACGTCAGCCCAGCTTTCCACAGCACTTGAAAATGCAAGTCTACCATCCATCTCTCAAAGAGCACATCCACACAAGTACAGTCCAACTCGGACCCAGAATATTGAGCGTTTTAAAAGGAAATCATAGCACTGAAGTAGTGAAGAAAAACTTGGAGATTGAAGAGCAGCAGTCTTGAGGTGAGTGCAGGTAGCTTACTATTAAGAGTTCATGAGACATCTGAAAAATAAAACAAAATGTTGATTAAAACAGGCACTGGGGGGAAACCGAGGATAAAAGTTAGTGTGCGTGTTTAGATTATCGTTGGAACTCACAGCTGGAGGGTCTGGCGCCATATTGTCGCATGATCTGGTCATGTGTGAACTTTACAAACGATTCATATTGTTCTGGGAAGGAACCAAAAACATCAAATTATCTATGGAATTAAAAGGATTAGACTAAGTTGTCATACCATGAGATGGCCCGTATTCATGAAGCGTCTCAGAGTAGGAGTGCTGATCTAGGATCAGGTCCCCCCCTGTCCATTTAATATTATTCATTATGATCTAATAGGCTAAACTGATCCTAGATCAGCGGCGCTCCTACTCTGAGTTGCTTTATGAATACAGGCCCATATCTGTAATAAGGAAGTCAGAGTCAGCATACCCGCCAGCTTAGTGTTCAGGATCTGTTCATACTCTTCACGGATGGTCTCCTCGTGGTCCTTGAGGATTCGTTCACACAGAGAGCCAACCTGGCGCAATGTGAAGCAGGGCAGGTCCCTCTTCATAGAAACTCCTGGGGAAATCAACACATGACAAGGAATGAGCTTTGGTCTGACAACTGCACATACACAATCTGGTTAAAAAGAGCTAGGTCTGGTTTACTTCTGCAATTGTTGTAACATTGAGAATAAACATGCAGAGGTGAGCGTGAGTTATCTTTTCTTAAGGATTTTACTCTGTGGCTCTTCTTCCCCACACTACAAACAAGAGACAGCACAGTGAGTTAACTGTTATTCACCATTACAGTAAGTGTATTTGTAATCAGATGCTGACAGCATCTTCAGCTTGGTGAGGGATAACTGCTTAAAAACAGACCTGGTGGGGAGCTTGGTGCCATGAAACCAGGGCTTTGTCCTGGGCCATCACTTGGAGTCTGGGACTCACTCTGGTTGAAGCCCCCCTCAAGCTGCCACCTCCGCTGGTAGCGGCTGTATTCTTGCCTAAGATTATGGACAATCTGCTCTGTGGAGGGAAGAAACAGAAAAAGTCAGCTTATCGTGGTTGGCTTATACTGGAAAGGGTGTTTCCTCAGGCAACAGCCCAGGCCTCACATTTATATTGGGTGTGACGATGCATGAAACATGGTCACATATCCATGCACCCAATCAACCCAACAAACACATTTTCAACTTGGTACCTGGATGGATGTATTTCCTAGCCTGGTGTGATCATCAACTTGATGCTACACTGTTATACAGTATAATAATGTTTGTTACAATCAGGGCTGGGTTCATTCTGGCCAACTACAGAGTTGAGTGGGTAACATTAGCTAGCTATATGCCAAGCTAGAACATCATCATGTTAGTCTTGCTTCAATGTTAGGCCTACTAACTACAACCTGTAAATCAGGTTCATTATTAGATAGATAACGTTAGCTGGCTAGACAGCCTGCTGAATGACAATGTCTGATCCCATATTTTACTATTCGCTACTTTCAGCCACTGGCACTAGCTAGCTAGCTAGCTAGCTAGCTACAATGGCCACCATCTAACGTTAGCTCATTTTTTACATTCTTCAGGCAAACAAGTAACCTGGGGTAAGTCTATGTTCTCCTCCACAAGTTGATTGGGGAGACATCGAACTGTCACCGGTATCAGAAAGCAGGTTACACCGCTTTGGCGACAGGGTGACCGGGGTCCCTGGCAGAGGGTTGCACCTCCGCCGTTTTGGAGATTGAGGGCTGTGAAGGGCCTCAAACTCCATTGAACGCTTCAAAGTAGCTCCGCACGCCATGCTACCTAACTTAGTTCAGAAAACAATGGTTTTTCGGTCAGCCAAAATTCCGGATAGCTGCTAATAACGAGTAGATGAAGGTTATCAGTTTGTCCGTCTTGTGCTTTCTTATTTCTTGCCGGTGTCTGGGAAGTCACTTGTTCGCTAACACAGTCTTCGGCTAAATAAAAACGTCCAAGCGGCGTCTTCTTCCCTCGAGTTTTATGGAGGATGTCACACCTTTCCTTGCCTTTACCGCCACCTACTGGACTGGGTTGAGAACAGTCTGTGGTTGAGATAGGAAAGAGGGCGAGTGAAGTTGGTTTCGTTCCTTTATACCTAGCTATCTGACCGACCTACTAAGTCATATCTTATCAAACGAAACTAATTTTATTGTAATAACCACTATCAGCGTTGAAAACCGGGGATTAAAATGTGTAACAGTAGTTCAACGTTAGCTAGCTAGCTAATAGGTGAGTAGAGCTAGTTTAGTAGCTAGCTAAGTTAGTTAGCTAATAAACAATGAGATATGCTAGCATTACCTACCTCATTGGTCAGGTCGCATAGCTAAAGTGAATAGACTGCCCGAGTTAATCATGAAATGATTGACTTACATTTTACATTTACGTCATTTAGCAGACGCTCTTATCCAGAGCGACTTACAAATTGGACTTGCAGTTATTAACTTCAGTTACTCATTATTGCACTTTCCAGGTACAAAGTAGTGTTTGCGTAAATTTACTGATGTTCAACTCAGCAAAACACAAACGGTTCCGTTTGGTAGTTAGGTCTACTTTATTTTCTAGAGAAATAAAGGCACGACAAACTGTTGTAGGTAGCTAACGTTACAATGCAATGCCATGTATCATAACCGAGGTACACTCAACTGGTTCATAATCATATATCATATGCAGCAGACATATGGTGAGCAATATATTTGGAACATCAATTCACATTAAAATCGCAATACATATAGAATTGTGAGAATCGCAATACATATCATATCGGTACCTAAGTATCGTGATAATATCATATCGTGAGGTCCCTGGCAATTCCCAGCCCTAGAGGAGAGGGGGATGAGGAGGGAGGAAGAGTGCATATTGATGCTTCAAGTAAGAACAATAGATTGATAGATGTGGGAAGAGATGAGATGGAGATTACAGAGGGAAGAAGTAGGCAGCTGATTTGAATCGTGATTTGGAAGAGGATGGGGAATTAGTATGACTCTATGATGCTATCTGCTATATGTTCTGTATGTGTGTGTGTGCTTGCTTATGTCTGGACATTAATGGTAGTTGTAGGTATGTCAATATTAATAGAGGCATATTTAAGTGTGAATATATGTCTTTACATGTACCCTCTCCTCTGTCCCACCCCCGTTGCAGGAGAGTGTGTTAGCTAGGCCTAAGAACATTAAGACCACCTTCCTAATAATTAGTTGCAAAAATATAAACGCAACATTCAACAAACAATTTCAAAGATTTTACTGAGTTACAGTTCATAAGAGGAAATCAGTCAATTTAAATAAATAAATTAGGCCCTAATCTATGGATTTCACATGACTGGGAATACAGATATGCATCTGTTGTCACAGATACCTTTAAAAAAATGGGCCTCACAATGGGCCTCAGGATCTCATCACAGTATTTTTGTGCATTCAAATTTCCAATCGATAAAATGCTATTGTGTTCGTTGTCCGTAGCTTATGTCTGCCCATACCATAACCCCACCGCCACCATGGGGCACTCTGTTCACAATGTTGACATCAGCAAACCGCTTTCCCACACAACGCCGTACACATGGTCTGCGGTTGTGAGGCCGGTTGGACGTACTGGCAAATTCTCTAAAACGACATTGGAGGTGGCTGAACATTCAATTCTCTGGCAACAGCTCTGGTGGACATTCCTGCAGTCAGCATCCCAATTGCACGCTCCCTCAAAACTTGAGACATCTGTGGCATTGTGTTGTGTGACAGAACTGCACATTTGAGTGGCCTTTTATTGTCCCCAGCACAAGGTGCTCCTGTGTAATGATCATGCTGTTTAATCAGCTTCTTGATATGCCACACCTGTCAGGTGGATAGATTATCTTGGTAAAGGAGAAATGCTCACTAACAGGGATGTAAATAAGTTTGCACTAAATTGGAGAGAAATAAGCTTTTTGTGCATATGGAAAATGTCTGGGATCTTTTATTTCAGCTCATGAAACATGGGACCAACATTTTACATGTTGCGTTTATATTTTTGTTCAGTCTGTATATGTGTGTATGTTAATGTAGCTTAGTGTATTCATGTTTAATATGTGTCTTCTGTCTGTGCCACCCCAGTAGCAGACAAGCATTATAGCCTGCTGTATGTGTTAATGTAGCCGTGTGTTAATGTACCTGTGTGTATTCATGTGTAATGTGTGCCCCCCTCTCTGTGCCACCCCAGTAGCGAGCGAGCGAGCATGTGGAGTCACTACCAGAGCACCTCACGGCAGAGACCCGGGGTGGCAGGGGGGTGAGGGTATGCCAGGACCTGGCTTCGCTACCCGCTGAACTCATCACCCAGATAGGTACACACACATATAGTCCCCTGTAGCTCAGTTGGTAGAGCATGGCACTTGCAACGCCAGGGTTGTGGGTTCGTTTCCCACGGGGGGTCAGTATGAAAATGTATGCACTCACTAACTGTAAGTCGCTCTGGATAAGAGCGTCTGCTAAATGACTAAAATGTAAATGTAAATGTAGTGTCTTCAAAATATGGCTCTGAACTAGTTAGTTATTTAGTGATGCATTTGTAACAAAGCATGATTTTTATTTGTCATATTTTGAATCTAATACCAGGTGACAAAGTAAAGTCATCATATAATAATATAATAATAATATAATATGCCATTTAGCAGACGCTTTTATCCAAAGCGACTTACAGTCATGCGTGCATACATTTTTGTGTATGGGTGGTCCCGGGGATCGAACCCACTACCTTGGCGTTACAAGCGCCGTGCTCTACCAGCTGAGCTACAGAGGACCATGGTAGGACGGGGAAGGAGCAACGTTCTATTACCATGTTCAGAGGACCATGTCAACACCCTGCAGGGCAGGGGCACGGTACCAGTCTGTGATCAAAATGGAAACGCAGCATCAAGGAGCAGTGTAACAGTTAATGGGGGTCATCCTCACTCTGCTCACAACAAGATGGCACAAGCAGAGACCAAGAACATTATCTATTTTTTCCTGTGTGAGCAGAACTGTGATGGTGGTCATGTATCTTCTGACTTCAACACACTGCTGGCCTCCCAGAGCCACCAGAACTATGCAGGACCCAAGTTCAGTGAGCCGCCCGCTCCTAGTGTTCTACCAAAGCCACCCAGTCACTGGGTGTCACACCCTGTGGCCACTGGTGACCACCATGAAACAATGACATGCCAGTTTAAGAGCCTTCTCAAGGTCTAGTCTTAGTCTGAGATACCAGGGTTGTATTCATTAGTGCACATTTTAGCAAAGAAAATTGCTACAGAAAATGGAAACAAACATTTCTTATTGGTGAGTTCAGGTAGTTCCTCCCTGTTTGGTTCCTAGTGAATATGACTTGGCTTAAGGTTCAGTGATGATTAAGCCTACTTATTGAGTCTTGCATTATTATTCATTCTGGTGTGGAAATTGACAGAAATGCACTGATTTATACTCAATTTGGTTATTCTCAATGCTGAAAATTAATTTTTCTTGAGACTGAAACTCAACATGATTACATTCAGTTGACTGACTCACAACTGAACACATTGGCATTGGAAGTAAACTGGATAGCTTTGGCAAGATGTCTCAAAGTATATCTCATTTGAATAATCAGGTCAATTGCCAATATGCCTATATTGATGAATTATTAATTATTTTCAGGTAGAAAGAGGATGGGTGTGGCACATAAAGTACAAACCTTTCATAGAATCAAAATATAAATATATATTTCAAAGATTGTACTGAGTTACAGTTCATATAAGGCAATCGGTCAATTGAAATAAATAAATTAGGCCCTAATCTATGGATTTCACGACTGGGAATACAGATATGCATCTGTTGGTCACAGATACCTATAAAAAAAAAGTAGGGGCGTGGATCAGAAAACCAGTCAGTATCTGGTGTGACCACCATTTGCCTCATGCAGCGCCACACATCTCCTTCGCATAGAGTTGATCAGGCTGTTGGTTGTGGCCTGTGGAATGTTGTCCCACTCCTCTTCAATGGCTGTGCGAAGTTGCAGGATATTGGCGGGAACTGGAACACGCTGTTGTACACATCGATCCAGATCATCCCAAACATGCTCAATCAAATCAAATCAAATCAAATCAAATTTTATTGGTCACATGCGCCGAATACAACAGGTGCAGACATTACAGTGAAATGCTTACTTACAGCCCTTAACCAACAGTGCATTTATTTTAAACAAAAAAGTAAGAATAAAACAACAACAAAAAAGTGTTGAGAAAAAAAGAGCAGAAGTAAAATAAAGTGAAATAAAGTGACAGTACGGAGGCTATATATACAGTAAAATAAAGTGACAGTAGGGAGGCTATATATACAGGGGGGTACCGTTGCATAGTCAATGTGCGGGGGCACCGGCTAGTTGAGGTAGTTGAGGTAATATGTACATGTGGGTAGAGTTAAAGTGACTATGCATAAATACTTAACAGAGTAGCAGCAGCGTAAAAAGGATGGGGTGGGGGGGCAGTGCAAATAGTCCGGGTAGCCATGATTAGCTGTTCAGGAGTCTTATGGCTTGGGGGTAGAAGCTGTTGAGAAGTCTTTTGGACCTAGACTTGGCACTCCGGTACCGCTTGCCGTGTGGTAGCAGAGAGAACAGTCTATGACTAGGGTGGCTGGAGTCTTTGACAATTTTGAGGGCCTTCCTCTGACACCGCCTGGTATAGAGGTCCTGGATGGCAGGGAGCTTTGCCCCAGTGATGTACTGGGCCGTACGCACTACCCTCTGTAGTGCCTTGCGGTCAGAGGCCAAGCAGTTGCCATACCAGGCGGTGATGCAACC